TTCCTAGTGATATCAATGTCTTGTTTCTTTTTGCTGGAATCAGTAATGCAAAGATCATCTTCTACTGTTTTGAAAACAGATGTGCAAGAACTGAATGGTGATTGGTTGGAGCAATTGATGAGTAGATTTGGCGGATTCGACCTTGTTGTCGGTAGCACCACTTGTAACAATCTTGATGTTCATGGCTTTAAGCTAGTGATGATTTGCCTACTTTGTATTCCATGTATTTAAAAGTATTAACATAAAGTGATATTCAGAAATCTTTAAATTATTTCAAAATTATGTTAATTCAATAGAAAAGAATAAATTGAATTTCCAAAAATAAATTGAATCTCAAATAAATTGAACTTGAAATAGATAGAATTGTATTCAAAGTTATGGCAAACATAAGAATGATAAAAATTCAAATGTCTCAACAAATTATAAGCATAAGTATTTCTAAATTAATCATGTTGACACAATTTAGAGTAATGATGTAAGCTTTTGTCTGGAAGATCTCAAACGTTGTCAAAATGCTTGTAGATGTGAAGTTTCTCCCAAACTATCAAAATCTTAAGAGGGTTCAATTGCCAGATGCCTAATATTAACCTGCATTTGAGCCGCCTTTTCAGGTTTTCAACTCAAATCCTTCATTTGGTTACAAGATGCCCTTTGTGGGTTTTCACCTTGACCCCCTTTTTTCTTTTTTTTTTTTCTTTTTTTCTTTTTTTTTTCAAGCATAATATTTCTTGACAGAATCCGAGTTTATTGGATTTTTCAGAATTTTTCCATCCATTTCTGCCAAGATCAACGCTCCTCCGGAAAAGGCCTTTTTCACAACGTATGGCCCTTCCCAATTAGGCATCCATTTCCCACGGAAATCCTTATGTATAGGCAAGATCTTTTTTAATACTAGATCACCCTCTTGGAATTCTCTTGGATGTACTTTCTTATCATGAGACTTCATCATCCGTTTTTGATACATCTGTCCATGGCAAATAGCTTTCAATCTTTTCTCTTCAATAAGGTTCAATTGATCAAATCTAGCTTGGATCCATTCAGATTCATCCAATTTTATTTCTCTCAATATTCGGAGTGATGGAATTTCAACTTCAATTGGTAAGACTGCTTCCATCCCATAGACTAAAGAAAACGGTGTTGCCCCAGTAGATGTTCGAACAGTAGTTCGGTATGCATATAGAGCAAAAGGTAACTTCTCGTGCCAATCTTTGTAAGTTTCAGTAGTCTTTGTAATGATTCTCTTGATGTTCTTATTTGCTGCTTCAACTGCCCCATTCATCTTTGGACGATATGCCACTGAGTTTGCATGTTTGATCTTGAACTGTGCACAAAGTTCGGTCATCATTTTGTTGTTCAGGTTCAGAGCATTATCTGTAATGATCCTTTCTGGTAGGCCATAACGGCAAACTATCTCTTTCTTTATGAATTTGCAGACTGTGGACCTCTTAATATTGATGTATGAAGCAGCTTCAACCCATTTGGTAAAATAATCAATTGCCACAAGGATGAAGCAATGTCCATTCGATGCTTTTGGTGTGATTGCCCCAATGACATCTATTCCCCACATAGAAAATGACCAGGGTGCTGTCATTACATGTAGAGGAGATGGGGGTACATGAATCTTGTCTGCATATATCTGGCATTTATGACATTTCCTTGCGTAATCAATGCAATCTGTGTACATGGTAGCCCAATAGTATCCATATCTCATTATTTTTCTGGCCATGGAAAGACCATTTGCATGTGTTCCACATATTCCACTGTGTACTTCTTCAATGACGTTTCGAGCTTCGCTGGTATTTAAACATCTCAATAGCATTTGATCATTGCTTCTTCTATACATAATCTCTCCATCAAGAAAATATGCAGCAGCCATTCTTCTCAAGGTTCTTTTATCAATTTCTGATGCATTTGGTGGATAACTTTGATTTTTGATATATTGCAGGATATCATGATACCATGGTTTACCATCTACCTCTTCTTCCACACTATAACAATGTGCAGGAATTTCATACACTTGCATTTTGATTGGCATCATATCAACCTTCTTAGTTGCCTGAAACATTGCAGCTAATGTAGCCAAAGCATCTGCCATTTGATTTTCTTCTCGAGGGAGATAATTGAATGTAACTTTCTCAAATTCTTTCACTAATTCGAGGGTAAAATTTCGGTATTCCAACAATTTAGGATCTTTTGTTTCCCATTCTCCTCGCAATTGATACACCACTAACGATGAATCTCCATATATCTTGAGAAATTTGATTTTTCTTTCTATAGCTGCTTTCAATCCCATGACACAAGCTTCATATTCTGCCATGTTATTGGTGCAAAAGAACTCCAGTCTACTTGTAAAGGGATAATAAATATTTTCTGGAGAAATTAACACTGCCCCAATTCCTCGTCCCAAAGCATTAGATGCTCCGTCAAAATAAAGCTTCCAAGTTGCAAATTCATCATTTGTTCTGACTTCTTCATTCATGGATATGCACACAGATCTTCATCGGGAAAATTGAAGTTCAAAGGCTGATAATCATTTGATACACGACTGGCCAAAAAATCAGCTATGACACTTCCTTTTATTGCTTTTTGGTTGACATATACAATATCAAACTCAGATAATAACATCTGCCATCTAGCCATTCTGCCTGTCAAAGCCGGTGATTCCATTAAGAATTTCAAAGGATCAAGTTTGGATATCAACCAAGTAGTATGGTATAGCATATATTGTCTGAGTCTTCGAGTAGTCCACACCAAGGCACAACATAATTTTTGTATTGGTGGGTATCGAATTTCACAATCAGTAAATTTCTTGCTCAGATAATAAATAGCTTTTTCTTTCCTTCTTGATTCATCATGCTGTCCTAATACACATCCCATCGAATTTTCGAAGACCGTCAAATAGAGAATTAATGGTCTATCAGGCATTGGTGATACTAAAATTGGGGCATTGGATAAATATTTCTTAATAATATCCAAAGTTTCTTGACATTCTTCATTCCAGACTTCAGGGTTGTTCTTTCGAAGTAATTTGAACACTGGATCACATTTGTCAGTTAATTGAGAAATGAACCGAGATATATAATTTAATCTTCCCAAAAATCCTCGAATTTCTTTTTTTGTATTGGGTGATGGAAGATCTTGAATTGCTTTAACTTTATCTGGATCAATCTCGATTCCTTTTTTGCTGACCACAAATCCCAAAAGTTTCCCAGAAGTTACCCCAAAAGTGCATTTGCGGGGTTAAGCTTTAATTGATATTTCCTCAATCTCTGGAAAAGCTTTCTCAGATTTTGAATATGTTCTTCTTCCGTTCTGGATTTGGCAATCATGTCATCTACATATACTTCAATCTCTTTGTGCATCATGTCATGAAATAAAGTTACCATGGCTCTTTGATATGTTGCCCCTGCATTCTTCAATCCAAATGGCATCACTTTATAACAGAATGTGCCCCACATGGTTATAAATGTTGTTTTCTCCATGTCTTCAGGATTCATTTTTATCTGATTATATCCTGAAAAGCCATCCATAAATGAAAACCATGCGTGCCCTGCAGTATTGTCCACCAATGTGTCTATGTGGGGTAATGGAAAGCTATCTTTCGGACTAGCTTTGTTGAGATCTCTGTAATCCACACACATTCGAACTTTCCCATTCTTCTTTAGTACGGGAACAATGTTGGCTACCCATTCTGGGTATTTAGATGCCTGTAGGAAACCTGCATTGATTTGTTTCATCACTTCTTCTTTAATTTGCAACAACATTTCTGGCCTCATTCTTCTGAGCTTTTGTTGGACTGGTTTATATTCTGGATTGATTGGAAGCTTATGTATCACTATATCTGTGCTCAAACCAGGCATATCTTGATAAGACCAGGCAAATATATCTTTGAACTCTTGAAGGAGATTTATCAATTCTTGTTTTATATGGACTGTCAGAGTAGTGCCAATTTTCTTTTTTGTCTTCATCTGTTCCCAAATTCACAGTCTCAACCTCTTCTTTGTGGGTAGAATTTGTTTGTCCTCTTTTTCTACCAATCTTAATAATTCAGTAGGAACATCACATTCCAGTTCATCTTCACAACCATTGATTTCTTCCAAACATATAGGCTGCTCTAAATTTATCACTGGATTAAATTTAGGAATACACATGCTATTAACACGGTGACACCTGCAAATTTAAGTCGGAACATTTCCGAAAGAATATAGTAAATTTATGAAATGTAAAAATGTAAGAAAATGTAAAGAATGATTGCCATCTGAAATTTTAAAGAAAATTTCTTATATTTAACATAATTTATTTTACAAGATAACAAAAAGTTTTCATATTTTTGAGCTAAACATAAAGATTAGTTCTGAATATTACTCTGCATTAATATTAAAAACTAAAGGAAGATCTTCAGTGGTCCAATTGGTGAGTGTTTCTCCAGGAAGACATGGTCGAATCCTATCCAAGTACTTGCCAGTCTTGTTGTCATTCATGATCATGTTGATGAATAATCCATTCATAGCTTCTTCAACTATGTCTTGATCTTTCGTCAACTTTTCTTCTTTAAAGGCTTCAACAAGCTGCTGTTCCACATTAATTGTTCCCCCTGATCTGAATATGGTCTTCAACTGTGGGAAAGACATGTGTTTCCAAAGGATTTCTCCTCCTTTTAATTTTGCCTTTTTGTCTTCACATCTTCTTTTAATCTCTTTGTTCTTTTGCTGAAGATTGGGCTTAAACCCTAGCCCAAAACGGTCTTTTTTCATCTTTATACTGATAGGAACTGAAATCCCTTGAAGATTCTTTCCTAGACCTCTCCCAGCTTTAGCTCCGATGCCTAAAGTTTGTTGTACCGTCATCTTGGTGCAATCAGACAGTCTGGGATATGGAATTTTGCTTCCTTCTGCAATAAAGGTTGCATTTACAAATTCAAGAGCTCGGAAAGAGCATTCAAGAGCCTCATCATTGGTGTCGATATATGGAACATCGCTTGTTACAGACGCAATGATTTCTTCTTCAGCACTGACGCATATTAGTTGTCCATCAACAACAAATTTCAATTTCTGATGTAATGAAAAAGGAACGGCTCCTGCTGAATGAATCCATGGTCTCCCTAATAGACAATTATATGTGGGGTGGATGTCCATCACCACAAAGTCAATATTGTACACGACTGGGCCGATTAACAACGGTATTTCCATTTTCCCAAGCACTTCTTTTTGAGTACCATCAAATGCTCGTACTACATTCTGATAACTCTTCATGTGTGATTGATCCAGAGGCATTCTTTGAAGTGTGACTAAAGGCATCAAATTGAGAGCAGACCCATTGTCAATCAATACTCCTGGCAACACATGACCATGACAATGTGTCGTGATGTTCAAAGCTTTTACTGACCCCATTCCGCCTTCTGGTATTTCATCGTCTGTGAATGTTATGTAATTGTCAGCGGCTATATGTCCCACAATTCTGTCAAGTTTATTGAGGGATATATCTTCGGGGATAAATGTCTGATTGAGGATTTTCATCAAAGCATTCCTATGCGCTTCTGAATTCATCAAAAGATCAAGAATAGAAATTCTCGCCTGTTGTTTGTGTAGTTGTTCAACCACACTATACTCACTATGTTTCAAGAATTTCAAAAATTCTTGAGCTTGCTTTTCTGTCACAGGTTCATTGAATGCTGGAAGGGATTCATCTTCAAATACCTTATGAGGTATTGCCACAGCTTTTCCTTTTGCTTTCACTTGTTCTGAAGCATTGGATGTTTCGGGAGAGTAACATCTCCCACTTCTTGTAAAGAAACCGACCTCGCTCACTGCTTCAGACGTCAATGTAGTACTCAAACTCTGTATTTTTTTCTTCTGTTTTTTCTAAAGAAACAGGTCCTCCTACCATTGAAACATTGGTAGTATAATTCCAAGGTACCCTACGGGTATCTTTATATGGAAATGGTAGAGGAGTGGTAATAACAACTTTTGGCTTTATTGGTGCAGGAATCATCGTGGATGATTTCACATTAATGATCACAGGATCATTTATTCTTTGATTTGATTTAGAATCCTCTGATGAGCAAACATCATCTTCTTTTTTCCCGGGTTCTTCTTCAAAGAATTCTATTTCTCTGTTGTTCATCAATTTTTGCACCAAGTTTCTAAACTCAGGACATAGTTGAATTTTATGCCCTTTCTCCTGATGATATTCACAATAATTCTTGCCTTCATTCTGCTTTGGCCTGAATTGTTGTGGAATTATACCGGCTAAAGAAAGCTGTTGGAATATCCAAACAAACGGAGATTTAATTTCAGAAATGTCAGTCTTTGCTTTCTTTCTGTTCTCTTCCTGAATTGCATTCACGTTTTTATCTCCATGATTTGGCAATGGATGACTTGATGCGGATGGTGTATTGAATTCCAACTTCCCAGTGTTGATCAAATTTTGAACCACCCTTTTGAATGCTAGACAGTTTTCAATAGAATGTCCTGTAATTCCTTCATGGTAAACACAGTGTGCCTTTGTATCATACCAAGGAGGGAATGGTGGTTGCATGGGAACCAAAGGATAGGGCCTTATAACATCTGCTTTTAACAGCGAATCATAGATCTCTGCATATGGTACTGGTAAAGGTGTAAAAGACAACCTTTCATTTTCCTTTCGAGATCCTCTGGACTCTGCTCGATTAGTGTTTGTTTCCTCTTTCTTAACCCTTGGTTGGGTTATTGTAACACTTTTCGATGAATCCTTGCTGTAAGAATTTGCATTGTTGACTTCATTCTCCTTTTTCCGGTACGTAGGTCTTTTGGAACTAGACCCATCATTTGATTCAATCTTGCCACTTTTCAAGACATTTTCAATTAATTCTCCAGAAATGACCAAATCTGCAAAATTTCTGGTTGCATTCCCCATTAGATGGTTTAAATAAGGAGCCTTCAATGTATGGACAAACATCACTGTGGCCTCTTTTTCTGACAAAGGTGGTTGAACTTGGGCCGCAGTGTCACGCCATCTCTGGGCATACTGTCTGAATGTTTCATTATTCTTTTTCTCCAAGTTTTGGAGAGTCCATCTATCAGGGACCATGTCTGTCACATGGCGGTACTGCTCTAAAAATGCTTTAGCCAAATCTTTCCAGGATCTAATGTTGGCTTTGGTCAATTGAGTATACCATTTTAAAGTCGGTCCTGTCAAACTATCCTGGAAGCAGTGAATTAACAATTTTTCGTCCTTCACATATCCTGCCATTCTTCGACAAAACATAGTAATGTGGGATGAAGGGCATGTAGTACCGTTATATTTATCAAATTCGGGAGCTTTGAACTTGATAGGGAGGATTAGGTCTGGAACCAAACTCAGCTCACTAGCATCAAATCCATAGAATGATTCAGTTATTTCCACGGATTTCATTCGCTCTTCTAAGCTCTTGATCTGTCTGGTTAGTTCTTCATTTACTTTTTGTTTCTCATTCAGCTCATTTAAATCTGGGATCAAATGCTCAGTATTAAGGTCCCCTATTTTCACATCGGATATAAGCGGATTTTTGCTTGAAGATGCAGGATCCACTTGTTGTTCCTCATGTGGTTTGATTTCTTGTAACGCAGATGTACGAGCATTGATTTGTATAGGGGTAGTACCAGAGTGATAAATTGGTTCTGGTGGAAAACCTAGAGGGTATATGGGTTCTTGGTCAAAAGATACAGGATTTTCATGTATTTTTCCACTGATAGCCTGCCTTTTAAACATGTCCTCTATCTTCTTCATCATACTGTCTTGTGAATTTGTAATACTGGCTTCAATTTTTTCCAACTTCATTCTCATTTCTTCTTGTTCTTTATGATGCTGTTCCTCAATACGCTGTATTTTATCCTCCATAATTCTCTTAGTAGCTTGTCTAGTACTGTAGTGATGTAGTATTTCTCTTTTGGCCAGAGTAACTGCGATTGAAAAATCTTTTAATATTATTTTTTCAAATTTTAATTGATGAATTTTAACTTAATAAAATAATTCATAGTGAAAATTATGAAATGACTGATGAATGTATGCAAAATGCATGTATGTAAAAACATTGATCCCAAAAGGTTAACTGTCATAGAACAACTTTCATCGGCATACAAAAGTTTCTTTATAATAGTTCATAACTACAGATAAGGCGTAGCTTTCCTATTAAGCTCTATAATTTCTTTCATTAACCATGACACCTTCTTTCCATACTTAGAAACTGGATCAACTTGATGCTCAATTATTTCGGCTTCAACAGCTAGTTCCCCAACATATCTGGCAACCTCACTCATTTGTACCATGGCCTCGAACACCATATTGCTTCTTTCTTCACTTCTTTCGACATAGAACTCAGTTGACTTTTGCCATCGTTCAGTTGTTCCTTCAAGAGTTTGCTCTAACTCAGTGACTCTGACTTGACAATTGTGCAGAATTTTTTCAAGATCTCTAATGCGTCTTCGCAATGAAGCATTTTCCTCATTACTTTCTTTGAGGTCATTAGGCCCTAGACGAACCTTTTCTTGAAACAATGATTCTTCAAGTTGCAAAATGTAAGCATTAAACTCTGAGTTTTTATTTCTAGACTGATCCAGATCTTCTTCCAGTTTTGTTCGTGCTTCTTGCGTTCTTTGATTAAGCTTCTGGATTTGAACATCTTTGTTTCTGCATCTTTGCATCCAGTTGCTAGCCACTTCCTGCTCTACCTCAAGTCTGGTGTTGAAATTTTTTCTTTCTAGCTCCCATTTTTCTTTTTCAACATTGGATTCTTCCATCTTTTGGCCTCTGACTTCAAGCTCAGCAATCAACTGGTTCATTTCAGATTCAAATTCCTTGAACATGATACTTTTCTCGCTTTCAAATTTAACAAAGATGTCATTCTTCATCTCTTCTAAATCTTTGGCTCGATCTCTTTCTCTTTGCATTTGATTCATGATCTCACGGTGTTCAGCCTTGTGTTTTATAATTCGCTCTCTTCTGTTGACCTCGAAATCTTCCATTTTTTGCTTTCCTTTTTCCAGGCTTTTGAGTAGACGACTATTCTTTCCTTTTAGATCTTCAACTCGTCTTTTCTCAATGTTCAATTCTCTGGTCATCTGTATTGTTGCTTGGCTTGATCCTGATGCTTTCCGGGATTTATATAACTCCTGATAATCTTTCTGTAAGGCTCTGTACTCATCCTCACCTTTTTCTTTATCTTTTCTCAACATTGCACATTGTGATGAATGAAAGTCAATGTCAACCCCCAACATAACTTTATCTTGTCTCATTTGCTCTAACTCTTTCGACCAGCCATCTCTTTCTGCTTTAAACTCATCTCTCAAGATTTCAATCTCTGATGGAACCACCTTAATGCGATCTTCCATAGAAATATCCTCATTTTGATCTGGTAGAGGAATATTTTCGTTTTTTCTGACAGATCTCCAATTTTCATAATCAGGAGTTAGCATTTCTTTTGCTGCTTTAGCTCGAATACAAAAAGTTGTTTTCCAAGCTGTAACGGCTTCCATGATATTTCTTTTATAATTTTTGCTGTGGAATGCGAACTCAGATGACTGTAGTCCAGCAGTGACAGGTACAAATTGACGACCTTCATACTGTCTTATAACCAGAAGTGGTGCATATCCAATTCCTCCCCATAATCCGAGCAGCATTATCCAGTTGTAATCACCACACCTATAAAAGAATTCCCTTTGTATTTGCCACGGGGCTCGCCAAACAACGTCATTGCTTTGCAGATTTCGAAAGGCATTAATCCACATATCTTTCTTAATTTCTTTTGGCCATTCCTGCTCCAGAAATTCCTTTAATGGTGAATAATCCGTATTAAAGCGTCGATATGAAACCTTTTCTGTTCTCCAGAAATGACTACGGATCCACACATATAACAACTGAGTACACCCTGAGAATCGTCCACCTCCTAGTCTTCTACAAGAATTTAACGATCTGAAGGTCTCTGCTAGGATTGCAGAAACAGGATTAATCTTCTTCGGTAGCTGTTCAAACAAGTCTACCACTGCAGCTTCAAT